GGAGGACTGCCATGAGTTAAGGTCAGCCTGGGCTACACAGTCAATTCAAGGCCAACCTGAACTACAAAGCAAGACTGTCTAAAAAAAAATCCAAAAACCAAAAACCAAACCAAACCAAAACAAAAACAACAAAGATGGGGGATAGTAAGTAATCCCAGCAGGAGGTTCACTGCAAATTTGGGGCCAGCCTGGGCTACCTAGAGAGTTTGAGACCAGCCTGAATTACACAACGAGACCTTCTCTCAACAAACAAACCAACAAGTGCATAGTAGAAGCTGAGTGTGATTGCGCACACCTGGAATTTCTGAACTGTGGAGGCTGAGGCTGAAGAATCATGAGTTACAGCCTGCATGGGTTACCCAGTGAGTTCAAGTCTAGTTTAAACTACATAGTGAGACGCTCTGATTCAAAAACAAAACTAAAAAAAAAAAAAAAAAAAAAAAAAAAAAAAAAAAAAAAAAAAAAAAAAAAAAAAAAAAAAAAAAAAAAAAAAAAAAAAAAAAAAGCATAGTAGAATTATCAGTGAAAACAAGAGAAAACATGAATAATCCCTTTAGCTTTACTTGCTTTTAGTTACGTTGTTAAAAAAGTAACTTAACAAAATTAGTAACCGTGAGAATCACACAGCTTAGCAATGTATCAGTCTCTATGAGCTTTACTTAAATCATACCTCTGATGTATGAATTATGATGACAACAGTTGTCTGGGTTACTTTTCAGGGACTTGAAGACTGCTTCTGTGGAAGCCACTGGCTTTTCACTTGGACCTGTGCAGGTGTCTGAGCGGTGACCTTTTGTTGTCAGAGGGCTGAGAACTCTACCCTCAGATCACTCTCTGCTGCCATTGTTAGAATGTGCATTCTATGAAAAGCCACGGAATTTAAATATACATGTGCTGACCACTGACTACTTTCCCTCCCCTCACCACGCCTCAGACTGCTCTGCTCCTTAACACATTAATTTCCCAGAACCCTGTCCTTGGGCAGGCAGACTTGAACCTTGGGTCTCTTCCTCCACATCCAGCCACCTTCAGAATAAACTGGCAAAACTCATTTCAGTGTGATGGGAGTGGGTTTCCCCATGCTGGGAAAGCTTATGCCCAGCAGTTCATCTCAAGCTGTCTTAGCAGCAATTAACCTATTCTATAGGGTTAAGAAGGGAGCAACTATTTGCTCATTTTGTTACCCTGGAACGTGGGAAATAACTTACATTCACCTGATAATGCTACAAAAGCAAGATCAACAAATAATGGACAGACTTAGTCTTTGTTAAAACAGGAACAATGGGAAAGACGAAAACTTTTCAGATTTTTGAGCTGTGTGAGGGTGAAAACCCATGCTGTTCTAGTTTTCTTAGGCACACAGGATAAGACTTAAGTGGCACCAAAGTTGAGACTGGCAATCTGAAAGACAGTAAACATAACTGCTTTCCAAATGCTTAGTCATGCTTATTGCAGATAAGGAGAAATACTTCCAGACTCTTAAACTCCTTAAGGTCTTGGTCTTCAAGATTGCTTTTGCTGAAATGTTTGTATTTTCTAAGTTGGCTATGGTTAGTGTTTCCTTTACCATAGCCTCACTTGATTTTTACCTTTTTTAATCCCTATACCTATTTTTGTTTGGTTTTAATCTCATTAAAAGAAGACCAGTCGCAAGAGTCGTGGTAGAGGGAAGTAACTTTTGTTTTTAAATAGTGTGTTTGATCTAATGTAATACTTAATCCCGAACAACAATTCTTAAATTAGTGATTATCCCCTTCCTCATTGTGAAGCTTTTTTTAATAATGAAAAGACATCACTCAGGCATAGGGGCATACGGGAAATTGTGCTTGTTAGATACTCCTCAGCAACTAAACTCATTGGAATTTTTAGTTTTTTTGAGACAGTGTCCTGCTATGTAACTCAGGCTGGATTTAAACTCACTATGTAGCCCAGCCTGTCCTCTCACAGCGATCCTCCTGCTTCAGCCTCCCAAGTGCTGGGATTAAAGGTGTATGCCACTAACTCTGGTTTAACTCAGTGGAATTCTTGTCACAAGACACAAAGGCAGAGATAAAGTGGTTGAAAGCTACTTTTGGTTACTTATACAGCATTTCTGAAAAAGTTCTAAAGCCAAGCATGGTGATGCATGCTTATAATCACAGGTACATGGGGAGGCTGAAGCAGGAGGATTGCAAGTTGGAGGCCAGCCTAGGCAACTTAGTGAGACCTTATCTCAAAGTAAGAAATATGTAAAAGGCTGGGAATTAGACAATGATAAAGTACCTCTGGGTTCAATGCTTGGTCACACACAAACACACACACACACAGAGTTTTAAAATATTGTTAGATTAAAAAGAAAACTGAAAAATGTGTTTTTATATTTTTTTAACTTTAGAAAATATTGGAGTAAACAGGCAACAGTTTGATTTGTGTAAGACTTGGTGGGACCATAAAGCAGAAGTATCATAAACCTGTGCATCTTGAAGTTATTTGGTATTCATTTTTCAAAAATTAATGATTTAAAAATTTGCCATAAATAAATTACACGGGGTATAATTATAAGAGAGCAATATTTTTCACCCAGTAAATGAAAGTACTTCTATATAATCATTTTCTTTGTATTCCATTTCAAAGCAGTAGTTGAGATGAGGTGTGTATGGAGCACAAGGAGATACAGAGCAGAGACCGGTGGTTCTGAAAAAGATTGAGTCCTAAAGCTAATCAGGTTGGCTTTCTCGTCTGTCTCCTCCTTAGCAGCTCCCATACACTGCTCTCTCCTTTAGTGCTCATCCTTTACCTCACTGGCTCCCTACTGTGGTGTTCTCCTCTGTTGCTTTGGACCTGAACTTTAGCAAAGGAAATCACGTCCAATGCTTTTGACTTTATTTTTTCCTATATCCAAGTCAGACTCAGAATCTGGCAGATGGCTCTGGGTTACTGATGAGAACTGAGTCCCTGTGGGGTTGGTAAGTACCAAGGTGATGAGAACTTCGGGGGAAAATAAACAGCAGATGTACCAGTGCCTGGAACAAGTTGCTTATCTAAGAATTTATTTCAAATCAATAAACACTTAAGCATCCACTATAGGCACTGTGCTAGGCACCAGTGTACAAAGGTGTACAAAGGTGAAAAATAGGTGGTTCCCCTTTTCCAAGCACTGAAATGTTCTGAGAGAATTAGTGGGAAGGAAATCTAGGAGTGGTACCTGTTCAACCAGATTTATTTCTTTGCTAACATTTCTAGATAAGTTTGGAATTTGGGTGAAAAAAAGAGAAAAGCTTAGTTTATTGCAAGGGTTCTCAACTCTGGCTGCTGATTAGAATCACACAGGGGACCTTTAAACAGTGGAACTCAAATTTTAGTGTGCATTAAGTATCCTCCCAAGGGTTTTGTTAAATGGTAGCTCAGCCCCAGAGTCTAAGAATCAGGTATTCTGGGTGAAACTGAGAATCTGTACTTTTATCAGGTTCTCAGGTAGTGAGGATGCTGAGGGGTCCCACAGCCATACCCGAGAACCACAACTTAAATTATAAGGATTTTCAGGTCTTCCCTCCAGACTCATTCAATGGACATGGGGATTGAATAACAGCATTGATCAATCATTTCTGGTGCCTCGATTTTAACGTGTTCACACAGCTGAGCATCTGTTAGTTCTCTGAAGTTAGTGTGTTTGGGACTCAACGAATCTACACATTCTTTTCTACAAGTCTAGAAATTTTATAGTGTTTGAGGATATTAATAAAGGATTTTTTTTAAAAAAAACTACTTTAAGATTTTCATTTCAACTAATTTGGCTGCCTTGGTTTGGAAGGTCATTCCAACTAACGCCTGAGTAGTTTTCAGTAGTAAGGTAGATGGATCCTTGGCACCCCGAAGTCCTCAGGGAAGTCTTAAAAGAAGTGGGGTGCATTAGAACCCCGTCTGCACCTTCCTTTGGTCCCCTTGGGCTTGCCTAGCCCTTGTAGTGTCAACAAGTGAGCTGGGCATGCTCAGTGGGCAGGGTCGGTTTTGGGGGTACAGGTGGGAAGCCTGCTGTTCCGCAGCCGGGGCTCTGCTCCCCCCACCTGTAGGAGGCTGAGCCCCGGGAGCTGGTGCTCAGCATCCATCCTCCCCCACCC